TATATATATATATATATATATATATATATATATATATATATATATATTAATTTAGAGAGGGAGAGAGAGTTAGAAACATCCATGATGAGAGAGAATCATTGATCGGCTGCCTCCTGCATGCCCACAATGGGGATCGAGCCCGCAACCCGGGCATGTGCCCTGACTGGGAATTGAACCATGACCTCCTGGTTCATAGGTCACACTCAACCACTGAGCCACGCCGCCTGGGCTGCAAAGTCCCATGTTAAAAGCCATAGGATTAGACATTCCCCGTGTGCTGCTTGGGAATTTCTTCAGTGCCCTGCGAGGGAACTGAGACTGCTGAGCTTCACTGAGCTCCAGGGAAAGAGCGTGGAAACAGCAAGGGTCAGCCCTTCCTGGAAACGGCCCTTGCAATCTGGCACCCTGGGAACTCGCCCAGCTGGACTCGTGACACTTGTCCAGTACTCCTGCGCCTCACGTAGCACTTACATCAATTCCCGCGTGCCCACCTAAGTGTTTACCCAACCAGGGCTCGGCAGGGTGGAAATGTTACCGCTGGGCTCAGAAGCCTGACGGGTTTGTCCTGACTCTACCACCTGGTTATCTGCACCCCCATCAGGCTGGTCAACTTCTTTCTGTTGCTGGAATTATTGAGAAAACTGTTGGAGTAAGTAAATATGCTTGAGATGGCCCCCCGTCTCTGGCAGCACCAACTGCCCAGGGAAAAGGCACTGCAATAGTCCTTTCCATCCATAACACCACATGCTGCCTTCCAGCCAGACTGCTTACTTCCAAGTAGTCTCTGGTCCAAAAGACTACATTATTCTGGATTGCAACCATGTAGCTCCGTTTAAAATATGAGCGAGGGCTTTCCAGTTACTTTGCTCAGCAAGTATTTTCTTTCCCTCTGGTTGGCATGCGGGGCCTGTTGAAACCATGGCCATCATTCAAATGATGCATTTTCTTCTCCCGAGTCCAGAAAAGGTTAGAAATTCCAGAGGACTGTTAGTCCCAAACAGCGTCGCTTTGCCAGGCTCGATCTTTAGATCCAAGCAAAGAGTGAAATTGACAAGTTTCTTCTTTCCCTGGCGGCCAGGCTTATAAATAAATCTAGCTATCCCAGCATCTGGTCTGTCCAGTTTCAGCCATACCTCTGGTCCTGTGGGACTTCTATTTGCAAGGGGATAGTTCAGTAGAAGAAAAAGAATACTTTATATCCCGTATTGAGGCCTAAGGGCCTCACATATTTAGTACTAGCTAGGAATGCCCATTTCAAATAAGTCTGTTTCTGTATAATCCAGAGGAAGCTTGCCTTGTCCTGTACACAGGAATAAAACCTCCCCGTTCATTTTAACAAGCACCTTGATGCATCTCCTTCTGTGCCCAACACATGCCCATCATTACGAGGGACCTTTGGATGCACACCCTGCCCTCTGAGAGGTTACAGTCTAATTAAGAACACACAGCAGACAGATACTTGGGGACCACATTTGAGAGCGAAGCCTGAGATGTGTTACAGGCACTCAGAGAGCGGGGGCCCACTATAGAGCCAATGGATAGGGAAGGTCTCATGAAGAAGGTAGATCTGGAATGGGGCTTTGGAGAAAGGGGCTTCTATCATATAAATACACCTTGATTTATGTTTGCTTCACTTGTGACAACAGCTACCAACAGAAAAAGGTGAGTTGCATCTAAGGTCCGACTCTTTTAAAATAAACTACTGAGCTCAGAAGCCTGGGACACCAAGAATCCTGGGTTCTCTTTCCGGGTTTATAAATATCTTGCAGTAACACTTGACATTGGCTGGGGGAGTTATTATTAGTCCCATTATGCAGAGGAGGTTCACCCACAGAAGTTAACCTTACCAGGTCAGTCCTTAAATTTTAGATATGCATGACCACACACACACACACACACACACACACACACACACACGGTGATGGATGTGTTAATTAACTCAATGGGGGAGTCAATTCACACTGTACACACATGTCAAACCACTTTAAATATCTCACAGTTTTATTTGTCAGCTACACCTCAATAAGGATGTAAATATGCATGACAAAAATAATTATAGTGACAATTTAGAAGCTTATTTCTCTCTTTTGTACCCAAACTCCCTTCACAGTATAGTGTAGTTCCTTCTAACCTAGGGTCCTCTAGTATCACTCTGTCATTCTTAATGAGCAGCTTCTGCCTCGTGGTCCAAGATGGCTGCTCAAGTCTAGCCATCACATCTGTTTTCCAGTCAATGGAGAGGGAAAAGGGTAAAAGAAGAGCATGCCTCTATTTTGTTGTTGTTGTTGTTGTTGTTGTTGTTGTTGTTGTTAATCCCCACCTGAAGATATATTTTCATTGATTTTTAGACAGTGGAAGGGAAAGGGAGAGACAAAGAGAAACATCTGGTGAGAGAGAGACCCATCGATTGGTTGCCTCCTGCACTCACCCCAACCAGGGCCAGAGAACCTGCAACCAGGTACGTGCCCTTGACCGCAATGGAATCCTGGGCCTTCAGTCCACACAGGCCGATGCTCTATCCACTGAGCAAAACCGGCTAGGGTGAACATGCCTCTGTTTTTAAGAACACTTCCCAGAAGTCACATTTAATTTTATCTATTGGCTAGAACGTAGTCATATGACCACATCTACCTTCAAAGAAGACTGGGGGATGGGAGAGGAATGTTCTTAGCTCAAATAGGCCAAAGGTATTCAGTAAAAATCAGGGTTTATGCTGCTAAGGAAGAATAAAATACTGGGACCACTAGAGTAGGGGCTCGCATTATTATGACAGCTTGAGTTGCCAAATGAAAGAACCATGGACAATGCAACGGAGTCCAGAGGGTTCAGTGTGGCTTCCCTCTAGCTCTGCATGTCCAGCTGAAAAATACTAATGGTCTTAGAGCCAGACACCCAGGCTCTTTTTTTTCAGATGTAATTGACATATAACATTGTATTTGCCCAAAGTGTACAACATAATGATTTTATATTTGTATATATTACGAAATGGTTACCACAATAAGTCTAGCTAACATCTGTCACCTCATAGTTATAATTTTTTTTCTTGTGATGAGAACTTTGAAGATCTACTCTCTCAGCAACTTTCAAATATACAGTACCTTATTGTTAACTGTATAATCACCATGCTGCACATTCTATCCGCAGAGTTTATTCATCCTATAAACTGGAAGTTTGTACCTTTCGACTCTCTTCACCCGTTTTGCCAATTCCATCCGCCACCTCTGACAACCACCTAGCTGTTCTCGGTATGAGCTCAGTTTGTTGTTGTTTTGTTTTATTTTTAAATGTCACAGATCAGTGAGATTATACTGTATCTATCTTTTTCTGATTTATTTCACTTAGCATAATGCTCTCAAGGTCCATCCATGTTGTTACAAATGGCACGACCTCTTATTTTTTTATGGCTGAATAATATTTTACTGTATATGTATGCCACATTTTTTTATCCATTCATTCATCAATGGACACTTAGGTAGTTTCCACATCTTGGCTATTGTAAATAATGCCGCCAAGAACATGGGTGCAGGCACCTTTTCAAGTTAGTGTTTTGGTTTTCTTCCGATAAATAACAGCAGCAGAGTTGCTGGATCACATGGTAGTTCTATTTTTACCCAGACTATTGATACCACAAAAAATTTACTTCTGGTATTTCCCTCTTTTAGACACCTTGAAGTGGGAGGAACCAAGAACATACTTTGACAAAGCTCAAGCCACATGGTGCCAGGGTGGCAAGAAAGGAGCCTCTTAAAGAGACCAGTAATCAATTATGATCACCAAGAATAATGCACATCTTTGTGAAGATATTCTTGGCGATCTTCTGTATTCATGTTTCTATTACTTTCCCCTCTTCCACCTACCGAGGAATCTCTCTCTTCATTCAGTTACTTTTCTGTGACCCGGTTTCAAAATTAGTAATAGTAGTAGTAGTAGTAGTAACTAGGAGGGCTTAGCAAATGCCAAATATGCAGACCTTAAACACACACTCTGGCATTTACTCTATGAGGTAGGTGCCATTATTGTCCCCATTTTACTAAGAAAGGAACTGAGATTTTGGGGAGGCTACATACCTCACATAGCCAGAAACAACTATCAGACCAGCACTTGAACCCAATCTACCTTGTGCTACCAGCAGCTGAACTTTTTTGCTAAGCACTTTTTCTATGTGTTCTCATGTCCTCAGGCCCAGCCTGTGGAGTCGGTATTATTAGTCCCATTATGCAGATGAAGAACTGAGGCTTAACCACAAAGATTAACCTTATCAAGGGTGGTCCTTAAACTTTACGCACATATCAGTTTGTTTTGGCATCCTCTTAAATCTATTGGTTTTAAGAGTCAGAAGCATATGCTATATTTGCACTTGCTAGTTTGTGTATTACTGAAGGCTGACTCCTGTTTCCATGTGTATGGCTTTTCCGCACTCACCTGCTTTGACTTTCATTTGTGGGTGTCATTGGTTTGTATTGTTTACACTGAAGCCCAGGAGGCAAGGAGCCTTTTCCATGTCTTCACAGTTGGGTCCTGTGAAGGCCCAACTGTGTAGTCACCACCGTTGGGCACTCCACAGAAAGCATTGCTAAAAGGACCTCTTTCATGTAAATCATCCAAATCCATTGACACTGAGACAAACTAGTCAATCAAACGAATGTCATTGCATTCCAACAGTGTACCTAGTATTGCACTAGCCACTGGGTACACAATAAGAACAAAGGGAGAAGGTGACTAACCTCAAAGAGCTTATAGTTTAGTAGGAAGACAGATATTATGCAATTAATCCTATATAATAAAAGCCTAATATGCTAAGTATCCAGTCGTCTGGTCAGCTGTTCAACCAATCAGAGCATAATTTGCTAATGATATGCTAAGACCGCTCAACCACTCGCTATGATGTGCACTGACCACCAGGGGGCAGATGCTCTGACTGGTAGGTTAGCTTGCTGCTGGGGTCCAGCCAATCGGGACTGAGCAAGATGGGCTGGACACACCCTGGAGCCCTCCTGTGGTCCCTCCCTGGCTGGCCAAACTCCCATGTCCCTCCCTGGCCCCAATCATGCACCAGTGGGGTTCCTTGGCCTGGCCTTCACCCTCTCACAATCCGGAACCCCTCAGAAGATCTTGGAGAGCCTGTTTTGGCCTGTTCCCACAGGCCAGGCCGAGGGACCCCACTGGTGCACGAGTTCATGCACTGGGCCTCTAGTTATTAATAATTCACTAATTACAAGTGTCCACAGAACTGCAAAGATGTACAGGGTGTTTTGGGAGTTATTAAAAAGATGCCTAACTCGGTCTGGAGGGTTAACTTTCCTGAGAATGTGATGTTTAAGCTGAACAAAGAGAAGGGGGAAAGCATTCTGGGCATGGCAAACAGCATGTGCAAAAGCACTGAGGTAGGAGAGAACATGGAAGTAAATTTGCGACTAACAAGATCACTCTTATCCCTTTAACTCTCCGTAGTTCAGAAAAAAGAGTTACACTATTTACCATCTGGGTCTGATGGACTCATTTCATGTTTTAATATATTAGCACAAAGATAAACCAGTCAAACAAATTGTATGGGGTTTTTTAATAGTTTATTGATTTTTCAAGATTGAGGAAGAAAGAGGGAGAGAGAAACATCAATGTGAGCGTGCAACATGGGTAGGGGCTCGAGCCCGGAATCCTGGCATGTGCCCTTGACCAGGAATCGAGCCTGCAACCTCCCAGTGCACGGGATGATGCCCAACCAGCTGAGCCACACCACCCAGGGCTATATTTTTATAGCTTTAAGTCATTTTACAAATAATTTACAGAAGTAGGAATAAAGGGATATTATATTCATTATCTATCGCTACATATCATTAGTCTAAAAACTTAAAACAACAAACATTAGCTCACCATTTCTATGGATCAGGAATCTAGGAATGGCATAGCTGGGTGGTTCTGTCTCAGGGTCTCTCATGAGGCTGCAATCAGGGCCAGCTTCATAGGTGTGCAACCTACGTAGTCACAAAAAGTCTCACATTTGGCTTAATCCTCTGCTGTTGATGTCTTGAAATTTTTTATAATTTTTTAACAAGGACCCCCCCCATTTTTGTTTTCCTCTGGACCCCATAATTTTTTAAATATGTTGTTATTGATTTCAAAGAGGAAGGGAAAGGCAGAGAGAGATAGAAACATCAATGATGAGAGAGAATCATTGATCGGCTGCCTCCCGCATGCCCCCAAACTGGGGATTGAGCCCTCAACCCAGGCAGGTGCCCTTGACTGGAATCAAACCCAGGACCCTTCAGTCTGCAGGCCAACACACACTATCCACTGAGCCAAACCAGCTAGGGTGACCCCATAATTTATGTACCCACTTCTAGTTGCTGCCAACCTATCAGCAAAGGATTACCATCGTCGATGGCTAGAAGACCCACTTCCAATCTCAGCCATGTGGTTGTTAGCAGGCCTCTATTCCTCACTGGCTATTGGCTGGATACTTTCATTCTTCTCCACACGGGTCCTCGCAATAGGATAGCTGGCTTCTGCCCAGAGCAAGTGATCAATGAGAGAGGCCAAGATGGAAGCCAGTCTTTTATAACTTAATCTCAAGAGTGACATATTCTATTTATCACACAGAGCAACCCTGGAACAAAGTAGAAGGGGAATACATATGGGTGTGAATACCAGAAGACAGGGATCAGTGGGAGCCACCTTGGAGGCTGACTAGCACACACAGTGAAAATCAACTTTGTTACAAATGTTAATAAGAATTTAAATATAACCCGGCCAGTGTGGCTCAGTGGTTGAGCATCAACCCATGAACCAAGAGGTCACCAGTTCGATTCCCAATCAGGGCACATGCCCAGGTTGCAGGCTGGATCTCCAGTACAAGGTGTGCAGGAGGCAGTCGATCAATGATGTTTCTCTCTCATCGATGTTTCTATCTCTCTATCCCTCTCCTTTCCTCTCTCTCTAAGAATCAATAAAAATATTTTTAAAAGAATTTAAATATAATAAACCCAAAATTTTATTCTATATTTTCCTAGTTTTGATGGCCATCATCTTTGCTCCATAATTATAAAACATTTTCATTTTCAGATTGACAAACATAATATCTTCAATCCATTTCATGTTTTTATTTCTACATTATCTATTTCCTCTTTGTATACACACCTGCCTTCGACATTCGACTATCACAAACCACTTCAGGTAAATGTTGGTGCACAAAAGTCTAAACGATCACTTTTGTTTTTGTCCGACATCTTATCGAGGCAGCAGTGGTAGCAGCTGTTCAAGTTTCACCCTGCAGTCCAAGGACAACAAGAAGGAAGATGCTGACATGTGTGAGTGAAGTAGGGAGCAGACAAAGCAGGTACTAGTGGAAAGAGTGGTCCTTGGAGAAGCCACCATGCAATCTGAGGTACAGAGGAGACGCTTCAGGCAGAGACTGATGTTGAAGAGCAGTTTGGCTAAAGAAATACTCTCCGAGTTCTTGGGCACATGTATAATGATCGTTCTCGGATGTGGCTCTATTGCCCAATCCGTCCTCAGTCGCGGAACTTATGGAGGAACCCTCGCTGTGAATGTTGGCTTTTCAGTAGCAGTCGGAATGGCCGTTTATGTGGCTGGGGGTGTCTCTGGTGGCCACATCAACCCTGCTGTGTCTTTTGCAATGTGTCTCTTTGGACGGATGAAATGGTTCAAATTTCCTTTCTATGTGGGAGCCCAGCTTTTCGGAGCCTTCACAGGGTCCGCAATCCTCTTTGGTGTTTACTATGATTCATTTATGTCCTTTGCTGATGGAGAACTGTACATCGTGGGAGAAAATGCAACAGCACAGATTTTTGCAACATACCCAGCTCCGTATCTGTCTCTGGTAAATGGGTTTGCAGACCAAGTAGTGTCCACCATGTTCCTCCTCATGGTTATCTTTGCCATCTTTGACTCCAGAAACTGGAGCGTCCCCAGAGGCCTAGAGCCCGTTGTCATCGCCCTCCTGATTTTGGTCCTTACTACCTCTTTGGAACTGAACTGTGGTTGTGCCATGAATCCAGCTCGAGACCTAGGTCCCAGGCTTTTCACTGCTTTGGCGGGATGGGGGTTTGATGTCTTCAAAGCTGGAAATTACTTCTGGTGGATTCCTATCGTGGGCCCTATGGTTGGTGCTGCCATGGGAGGCCTCATCTACGTTCTTTTCATTGAAATCCACCATCCAAACCTGAATCCAGACTTTGAGGCAGAACAACCGAGGACAAACTAGAGAAGCATGAGTTTAGTGTGGTAATGTAGCGGCGTGTTTAGTTCTAAGTTTACAATTGGCTGAGCTGATGTTCTCTTCAGGAAAGATGGCATCCAGGTGTCTATATATTCATGAGACTGGGGTAGATCTTCCCAATTTTCTCTGCTAGCCATTTGGGACACTTGATTGGAAAAGCATCTGAATAATGTTTTGAAAATACTGACCTCTTCTCTACCAGTTCCCCTGCCTTCAGAGTAACATGGACTGTCTTGTGAAACAGACTTCTCTCCACCCTGTTTATTTCATTCTTTCATGTGAATTTTTTTTGCTGAGTGAGCACTGATAACTTGAGACTTCGACCTTGGACTTATTTGGATAGTCTCAACTGCATTATCTGTATGAAATAGCGTCACCAAAGCCTTATTTTCAAACCCATAAAGGTTACATTCTGATTATTAAAAATAAAAAGAAGGAGGAGGAGGAGGAGGAAAAGAGGAAGAAGAAAAAGAGGAAGAAGAAGGAGAAAGATGCTGGAAAGTTGGCCAAGAAAGACAAAGACCCAGTGAACAAATCTGGGGGCAAGGCCAAAACAAGAGACATGGTCCAAAGACAAAGTTCGGGACAAGCTCCATAACCTAGTTTTGTTTGACAAAGCCACATAGGACAGACCCTGTAAGGAAGCTCCCACTGTCCGCTTATTATAATACCAGCTATTGTCTCTGAGAGACTGAAGACCCCAGTTCCTTGGCCAGGACAGCCCCTTCAGGAGCTCCTTGGGAAAGGACTTATTAAACTAGTTTCAAAGCACAGAGCTCAAATAATTTACACCAGAAACACCAAAGGTGGGGATGCTCCAGCTGCTGGTGAAGATGCAGGAACAACAGGTCCCATCAGCTATACATTTTGAGAAATAAAACATCATTACATTTTAAAAATGTAAAATATTAAAGAATATTGTCATATGTCTTCTTAGGAAAACAGAAAGGCTTAGATTCTTGTCATAAAACGTTGTATAATTAAGTTCATCTGGTTGAGTAACTGCATGAAAATACCATATTTCCTCTTTTTCCTTAAAAACATATTCTTAATTTATTGAAAATCATCTAGGATATCATTGTCTAAAGATTCATAGGCTAAGATTTCTTTTACACAATCAATTTCACCACTATCATTTGCTTATATTCTAGAGTGCTACATTAATCTTCTGGTTTATGTAATACTGTAATTATGAAAACTCATCCTCTACCACTCTTTGCCATTATAGGGAGAAAAGGAAAATTTCGGCCTTTTCAGTTGTATCAAATGAAACTAAAAGCAGACCACAAAGATGATGTCTCCAGTTTTCTTTTATATCTTCTTGAAAAATTATATAATACTTTAGGCAGTGAATTAAGAAAACTGGAGGATGATAAAATACTGATGATTTACTATACTATTGCCTCATCCTTCTTGATAATTCCATCGTTCTTCAGTTTTCTTACTACTTTAGTCTTTTTCACCATAGTTGGGAATAATTGATGAATAATGATAAAATCATTCCTAGGAAGACAAAAATAACGGTTTCAAGACACAAGAAAAAATAAGATCACTAAGATCTCATATCTTACATTTATAAGAGAGTTCCAATGCACTCATATCGTAACTGCAAGATAGAATGAGTTTTATTCTATCTTTAAAAAATAAGTAAATATTGTTTTTGTGCTTTGGAAGATATCTTAAAAGCCAAGAAGTAGTAACACTTTACAAAAATGCCAAGTGCTTTAGTCTAGCCCAGGGGTGGGCAAACTTTTTGACTCGAGGGCCACAATGGGTTCTTAAACTGGACCGGAGGGCCGGAACAAAAGCATGGATGGAGTGTTTGTGTGAACTAATATAAATTCAAAGTAAACATCATTACATAAAAGGGTGTGGTCTTTTTTTTTTTTTTAGTTTTATTCATTTCAAAGGGGCCAGATCCGGCCCGCGGGCCGTAGTTTGCCCACGGCTGGTCTAGCCCCTTAGACCACTTGGTCATCCTGACATGTTTCAAGTGCTTTTAAAAAAAGCAACTAAAATTGGGCCCAGTGGACCCTGGATGGAATTAACACAACCGATCTACTGGATTTGGGAGAAGTGGCACCACTAACATGACCTGAAGCTGGCACTATTCCTGCCTCACCCACATCCCCTCATCCCACAAGCATCCTTGCAGCTCCCTAAACTCCCAACAGCTCATCTTTCTGCCTGCGGGCTTCCTTTGGCTACAGGTGCCTGCCTGCTCATCCTATGTGGAGGGTTGAAAGTGCCTGGAAGGTCATACCCCCAGGAGCAACCCTCACCCAATGAGGAATCAAAATTAGTGGGTAAATCCAACTTCTTCACCTCACCCACAACAAGACAATGCTGAGGTGTGTTCCACAGTCTTTCGATGAGGATTAGGCCCTTTCAACAGGATTAGGCCCTCATTGCCCACAGCAGTAGCCATCTCCTTAATAAATCATTAGCTATATGGACGAAAAGGGGGCCACATACTAAACCTGACAAGCTCAGGGGAGGCCTGTATGGCCTCACTTACAAACTCAGAGACCTAAAGCAACCACATGGGATGGTCTGAAGCATAAAAATCCCTAACTAAAAGTGGGTTATGGCAGATAGTCACATTCTAGGCCTGTAGCTTCCTTGACAAGGGTGGATCTTTACCTTAAGTGAGCCTGTCTACTGTCTTTTGAATCTAAGGTAATATACCTTTGAAATATCAGAGTAGTAGTCTCCTTTTTCAGACCCCTCAAGGCAGAATTGAGATACCAGAGCATGAAACCACAGAACCACTCATTGTGATCTTGTTCCCCACATGCCATCACTATGTGTTGCACATCTTAATCATTAACTATCCCGGACCCACCAATGTAAAAGAAACGTGTCTCTCCATTTTACTTTTTATCCAATGCCAGAGATCCCCACCCCATGCTTTCTCCCGCCCCTGTAAGCTATCCCCAGTGGATTTCACGTGACCCTCCTCTGATTCTAATGTATAAAATAAGCCGAAAAACTGCCAATCTCTAGAGCATTTGCTCACTCCATTGAGATTTTGCTTCCTGGCAATTGTTATCAGTTTGGCTCCAATCAACTCATAAAAATTCTCTACAGGTTTGGACTTTTCCTACTTGGACAGTGGCCTTGTCTCCTTTCCCTGCTGCACTTCCCCACTGCCTTGCTGTTTCCTTGAATCACCTCCAAATACACTACAAAA